TTCACGCTTACCGCATTTTTCTGACTACAAGTCGCACTTTTTTTCATGGTTTGGGTGTTTCCTGTGACTTATACTCCTGTGCAACTTATTTATTAAAGTTTTCACACTGAAGCCGCGAGAGGCTCTAGTCTCGTGTGTCAGTTTCTGCTGCTCCTATTACTCCTACTACTCTTACTCGAACTAGGAAGTACGAGCACATAAGTCCTGTGCTCAGGTCTCTGCACTGGCTCCTGTGACTCAGAGACTTTAAAGCGTCTCTGTTTGTACAAGTGTCTCCATGGCCGAGCACCAAAGTCCATCTGTGACATGTTAGTGTCATATGAACATCTCACACTCTGAGGAGCTCAGGGACCGGCCTCCTGCTGGTGCCCAGAGTCACGACTAAACAAGGGGAGTCAGAGTTTCAGGTTCATGCAGCTAAAACCTGGAACAGTCTGAACATGTGAGACAGACTCTTCTGTGACGCTGTTTAAATCCAGGCTCAAAACATTTCTGTTTAACTGTGCATATAACTGAAAGGTTTTCATTCCACACTCTTCTCTCCAATTTATGTCTCTCTTTTTAATTTTAATGTTCATGATTATTTATGTTTTGATTTGTTTTTATTATGATTTTAATGTATTTCTTATTCTGTAAAGCACTTTGAATTACTTTCTGTACGAATTGTGCTATACAAATAAACTTGCCTTGCCTCTACTGCGCATGTCTCTGCTGTCCTGCTGAAAGTTGTGAAATATTCAGCTGTAAACGGTAATCGAGTCGCAGAAAGAAAGTTTGGAGTGAGCAAGGAACTTGTGAGGGACTGATGGAAAGCGATGATGGAGAAAACAGCTTCATGGGAACCGGGAGGCCGGGATAATTCTAATTGGAACTGATGCTGAGTCTGACGACAGCGACACAGAAGAGTTTGCGTCGCTCTGTTTACCTCCGGAGGTCGCGGAGTTGCTCAGAAGTGACACCGAGGATGAAGAAGTGAATGGATTTAGTGATTTGGAGTGAGATGGAGAGTTTGTTTAACTTGTTCTGCTCTGTTGTTTATGTTATAGTTTATCTGAAGAACTGTTCATATGTGACGTTAACAGTCTGTTGTTCTCTGTTTGATTGTTTTTACTAGAACTTGACTTTCAAGATGAAATGTCGGTTCCTGGTCTCTAACTTTACCAAATAAATTTCCCCCTAAAAGTGTGACTTATATATATATTTTTTCTTCTTCATTACGGATTTTTTGGATTGTGCGGCGTATAGTCTGGAAAATACGGTACGTCGCAAACCAGGAAGATGTTTGGAAAGATGCAAATACAACTTCCGGTGGGCTCTGTTCACGGTAGTAAGTCTGACAAAATAGGTGTGTAATAGAGAGAAAACTCGGGATGTAACAATAACCGAAATACTGTGAACGTATCGTAAAAAGTCTCAATAATATCACTGACTCTCACAATATATCGAACTACAAGTCTCTTTGCTTAAATTCACGATTATAGTGCAGTATCAGCTAAAAGAACAGAGGGAACTACATCGCCCATGATCCTTTGCTCAGTTTTAGAGCAGACTACATGAAGAAAGAAATAACTATTCTAAGCACTTTTAAGTCTTAGTTCTTTGGATTACGACAGGACTAAAGTCTTCGTCAAGGAATTTTCACAAGTACATTTTCATAAATACCGTACCGTGAAAATATCGTACCGAGAGATTTTGATATCGTTACATCCCTACAGAAAAGTACATGTATTTGTTTTAAGACAAAACTGATCCAAAGCATTAAATAATCTTATTGAACAAACTGATATGTCCAAACCGGATATCGACTGAACCGATATTTGTAAGCCGATATCCGTTCAAGCCATTTTTTTTCATTACTGGCACCGATATCCGGATTAAATGAGTAGAAAAATGAATTATTTTACGCTAAAAAACAAAAAATTATTATTATTTTCATGGATTATCATTTGCTGTAAAAGTACCGGATAGACTAGTATCGATAAGAGTAGCAGTACTGAAGGTGCACGATGTAACTTTTTGGTTTCGGGGTCCGTCACCTGCTTGTTTCTATGGAGATGTCATTGCTCTGCCTGAAATGTTCCACAGTGTGACATTAAACAGCCCTACTTTACATTTATTGAATTACAGGTGGTTTTATAGCTCAAAAATACCTTGAAAAACAGACGTTCTGACTGTGAGAGGCAGGGGTGTTCGCCGTCCACCCTCTTCTCCCGACGTGAGATATAAAAAAATAATAGCAAATATAAAATAGCTACAACTTAAATGTCAAACTGGAGCTTTTGGCAACAATGAAAACAAACTACATAGACTCATGATATCTGCACTAATGTCCTATAGTGACCTGCGACATGAGGGACCAGGACTGAACCAGGACTGAACCAGGTCTAAATCAGGACTAAACGAGAACTGAACTAGGACTGAGTGTCGGGATGGGCCCGGAGGGGAGCCCACGTAGACTGTTGGGTGACTGCAGGCGAAAGGTCCAGTGCAGAGATTCGCGCCCCAGGGGACTAAGTGCAACCATCGCCTGATTGAGCTTTGCAGACACGCTGCTCCGTGACCTCGGGATTCTCCCTCTCGCTCTCCAAGATTAGTCCTGGTTTAGTCCTTTTTTTAGACTTGGTTTAGACCTGGTTTAGTCCTGGTTTAGACCTGGTTTAGTCCTGGTTTAGACCTGGTGTAGTCCTGGTTTAGTCCTGTTTTAGTCCTTGTTTAGTCGAGGTTTAGTCCTGGTGTAGTCCTGGTGTAGTCCTGGTTTAGAGTTTAGTCCTGTTTAGTCCTGGTTAGTCCTGGTTTAGTCCTGGTGTAGTCCTGGTTTAAGTCCTGGTGTAGTCCTGGTTTAGTCCTGTGGTCCTGTAGTCCTGGTTTAAGTCCTGGTGTAGTCCTGGTTTAATCCTGGTGTAGTCCTGGTTTAGTCCTGGTCCTGGTGTAGTCCTGGTTTAATCCTGGTGTAGTCCTGGTTTAATCCTGGTGTAGTCCTGGTTTAGTCCTGGTGTAGTCCTGGTTTTAATCCTGGTGTAGTCCTGGTTTACTTCTGGTGTAGTCCTAGTTTAGTCCTGGTTAGTCCTGGTTTAGTCCTGGTGTAGTCCTGGTTTAGTCCTGGTTTAGTCCAGTTTTAGTCCTGGTTAGTCCTGGTTAGTCCTGTAGTCCTGGTTTAGTCCTGGTGTCTGGTGTAGTCCTGGTGTAGTCCTGGTTTAATCCTGGTGTAGTCCTGGTTTAGTCCTGGTGTAGTCCTGGTTTAGTCCTGGTGTAGTCCTGGTTTAGTCCTGGTGTAGTCCTGGTTTAATCCTAGTTTAGTCCTGGTGTAGTCCTGGTTTAATCCTGGTGTAGTCCTGGTTTAGTCCTGGTGTAGTCCTGGTTTAATCCTGGTGTAGTCCTGGTTTACTCCTGGTGTAGTCCTAGTTTAGTCCTGGTGTAGTCCTGGTTTATCCTGGTGTAGTCCTGGTGTAGTCCTGGTTTAATCCTGGTGTAGTCCTGGTTTAATCCTGGTGTAGTCCTGGTTAGTCCTGGTTTAGTCCTGGTGTAGTCCTGGTTTAATCCTGGTGTAGTCCTGGTTTAAGTCCTAGTTTAGTCCTGGTGTAGTCCTGGTTTAATCCTGGTGTTTAGTCCTGTTTAATCCTGGTGTAGTCCTGGTTTAGTCCTGGTGTAGTCCTGGTTTAATCCTGGTTTATCCTGGTTAGTCCTGTAGTCCTGGTTAATCCTGGTGTAGTCCTGGTTTAATCCTGGTGTAGTCCTGGTTTAGTCCTGGTGTAGTCCTGTCCTGGTGTAGTCCTGGTTTAATCCTGGTGTAGTCCTGTGTGTAGTCCTGGTGTAGTCCTGGTTTAATCCTGGTGTAGTCCTGGTTTACTCCTGGTCCTGGTGTAGTCCTGGTTTAATCCTGGTGTAGTCCTGGTTTAGTCCTCCTGGTGTAGTCCTGGTTTAGTCCTGGTGTAGTCCTGGTTTACTCCTGGTGTAGTCCTGGTTTAGTCCTGGTGTAGTCCTAGTTTAGTCCTGGTGTAGTCCTGGTTTAATCCTGGTGTAGTCCTGGTTTAGTCCTGGTATAGTCCTGGTTTAGACTTGGTTTAGTTCTGGTTTAGTCCTGGTGTAGTCCTGGTGTAGTCCTGGTTTACTCCTGGTGTAGTCCTGGTTTAGTCCTGGTGTAGTCCTGGTTTAATCCTGGTGTAGTCCTGGTTTAATCCTGGTGTAGTCCTGGTTTACTCCTGGTGTAGTCCTGGTTTAGTCCTGGTGTAGTCCTGGTTTAATCCTGGTGTAGTCCTGGTTTAGTCCTGGTTTAGTCCTGGTTTAGACTTGGTTTAGTTCTGGTTTAGTCCTGGTGTAGTCCTGGTGTAGTCCTGGTTTAGTCCTGGTATAGTCCTGGTTTAGACTTGGTTTAGTTCTGGTTTAGTCCTGGTGTAGTCCTGGTGTAGTCCTGGTTTAGTCCTGGTTTAGTCCTGGTTTAGTCCTTGGTTTAGTTCTGGTTTAGTCCTAGTGTAGTCCTGGTGTAGTCCTGGTTTAGTCCTGGTATAGTCCTGGTTTAGACTTGGTTTAGTTCTGGTTTAGTCCTAGTGTAGTCCTGGTGTAGTCCTGGTTTAGTCCTGGTATAGTCCTGGTTTAGACTTGGTTTAGTTCTGGTTTAGTCCTAGTGTAGTCCTGGTGTAGTCCTGGTTTAGTCCTGGTATAGTCCTGGTTTAGACTTGGTTTAGTTCTGGTTTAGTCCTAGTGTAGTCCTGGTGTAGTCCTGGTTTAGTAGGCGATTATGACGCCACGAATCACGTACCCCCACTTAAAAAAAAAAAATCCCCACTATAGCGCTGGTGAGCGGGGTCGCCTCTCCACAGATCTGACATGTAACTTTATCTGGCTTGGTCTCCGTGAAGATATAAAAGCGTTTAATGCCATACTGTGAAACATTCCAGACAAAGCAATAACTAATAATCTCCGCGTAGACAAGCATTTGACGGACATCCCTCCCCGAAACATGTCAAGGTAAATACATTTCACTAAAACCGTCTGCCTTAAAGAAAATCAATAAAGGCCAGTGCAAACAGTCCTTCATTTCTCCTTTGAATCTTGTGACGAAATCCTCAATCTTCCATAGTCTTTTATCGCCCAAACTAAGCGCATTACAATGATATCCTGCTTGGGAAGGTACTGATCCCAACAGTACTCGGGAGACAGCAGCTTGGTCGGTTTATGGAGCCAAAAATACTTGTTCAAATGGCTTTCGTCGTGCCAAAGCGCCTCCACGTCGTTCTTCTTATCCTCCATGATGTTGGCCAGGCACTCGTCGGCGATCTTTTTCACGTTCTCCCATGTTCCTCCGTAAATCGCCGCGTGGTAGTAGAAGTCCCCGGTTTCCATGCACGCTTTGGACTTCGGGTTGCGATCGTAAGTGAACCGGTTCTTTGGCAACTTGTAATAATGAGCGTGGAGAAGGGCGACCGATTCCCCCAGAGCTTCGGACCCAAACCGCCCGGTGAATACTTGGTCCACGTCGAAACAAAAAACGTAAGGGTACAGGTACTGAATCTCCGAAATGATGAGTTCGGATATAGTTTTCATCCGCATCATGGAGATGTCCTGCCATCGGGAATGCCGCTCCACTTTGATGACGCGCATGTTGCGTTGGGAGCCCATGGGGATCAAGGAGACTTTCTCCGGTTCGTCGGTGAAAACGTAAAACATGACGGGTAATCCAACCATGAAGTACTTCTCTGCAGATACAAGGAATTTCTCCAGGTAGGCATCAAGATACCTGCGAAGGAGACGTACACACCGTTAAAGTCTCTAGTTCATTTCTCATATTTATAGATTTCCTGGTACTGAATATGCAACTTTTGACTAGTGCTGTCAAGCGATTAAAAAAATTGAGAGATTAATTAATTATGATCTGTAATTACTTAATCTAATTAATCTCTTTTTTCATCTCAGCAAAAAATTGCTGAGAAAAGCCTTCAACTTGAGGTATTTTCATTTGAATTCATTATTACATTATTTTCATACTATCATGAACGTTTTTATATAAGTATCATCATTATTACTATTACTAATTTGCATGAATAAACTCAACTTTACGACATATAAACCATAAACACTCTAGAGCCACATCAGCCCGTTTGACATTATAATGTGTTTAATGCAGCTTTGTGCAAGTCTCACAGAAACAAAACTTAAAACTGCATGGATAATTTACATAAAGTGGAGAAAAAAAAAAAAAATGCTCTTGTGTCGCTGATGCGGTTCAACTTCTGTTGGACTAAAGGACACGACTCAGTGAAATATAGATGTTCTTTCTGTGACAGAGGGATGTTGATGTTGTGAAGGTGAGTCTGTTCTGTGTCTGTGTCGTGATGTTTTCAGAGATCAGACGTGTGCAGGTTTATCGCAGATGCGGCGAGAACGGGAATGAAAATTAGGCTAGAGCCAGCGAAGCAGGACTGCACGGTGCGACAATGTGTCCTAACAACACATAAAAACAGATTTTATACTAATGCAACTCGCGTACAGAAACAGTAAAGTTAGAGATTAAAAATAAGATTAACGTGATTAAAAAACATAACGCGTTAAATATGACTGTAATTAATTAATCGCAATTCACGCGATAATTTGACACCCCTCGTTTTGATGACTTTTTTCCCATTCAGAAGATATATTTTGTTTTATAGTGTTCATCTCCATGGTAACAGTTCAGTGTTGGTGGCAAAGAACTCTAATAAAATCTGGAACATGAATCCAAGATAAAAATGTTAAAAAGTTGTGAAAAAAGAAAAGAAACCTACAAAATCCAACTTTTGTGAACGTCGACGATGCCCTGTCAGCCAAACACAGGCAGGGTGAATTCCCCTTCTATAGGAGAATTCTTTCTGCAGTAACTGGAGCGACCACTAGTCTGTCTGGAGCCAGGACAGACGGGGAATGTCTTATCCAGGTTTTATTCTAGATCCATGGCTGGTGGTCTTTACTTTGCAGTGTGAAAAAACTGGACATACTTTTACTGCTTTGTCTGTGAAACCCTGCGCTTTTACTGACACTTCACACTTTAGAGGGATCTGGGAGACTTTTTGTGCTGAATGGCGTCTCTTTTTCATGTGCATGGAATTAAGACCAGAAGATATATTTGTTTGTTTCAGCAGAAAAAATTATAAAATGCCCAAAAAAATTATTATTATAAAAAATGCAGAGGAGAAAATTCAGTTTGTCGACTGAACAAAAGTTAGTTTGGTTGAAGACGTTTCTCAGCTCATCCAAGCTGCTTCTTCAGTTCTGGTCAGACGCTGGTGACACTTCCTTATATCTGTCTGAAGGGAGGAGCTAACTACACTGAAACCTCGGCCTATTGACCTGTACAGGGTGTGGGGTCTAATTAGCAGAACAATTCATGGCCATAATGGAGCTTCCTCACCTCTGGACCTGACCTGGATACACCTGTTGTTTGTTTTGATTTAGGTTTGAGGATGGAGTTGTAAATAGGAGTACAGGTCAATAGGCCGAACTAACAAACAGAAACTGTAAACAAGTAGGTGTGTTAGTTTCAGTTATTTAGCTCCTCCCTGCAGATATAAGGAAGTGTCGACCAGCATCTGACCAGAACTGAAGAAGCAGCTTGGATGAGCTGCGAAACGTCTTCAACCAAACTAACTTTTGTCCAGTCGACAAACTGAATTTTCTCCTCGACATGGATTCTACCTGGACGACTGAGGGATTCTTCACATATTATAAAAAATATATCAGCGCCAGAAAAGAAAGATTCATTGTTTTGGCCAAATGACAGTTACCTTCCCACGGCGAACACGGTGAGGGCCACAGCGGTCTGGTTCTGCTGGTGGGCCCGGTCGTACTCCAGAGGGTCCCACATGCCCTCCCACATGATGGGAGCCTTCCACTCGGTCTGGGTCACGACTGCAGTCCGGGCCCTGGAGCACAGAGCTGTGTTCACTTTTTTTTATGGGGACACTTTTGTGATTAAGAGACCGCCACCTGTGGATGTAATCACTCTGCCTGGAATGTTCCACAGTGTGGCATTAAAGTTCTTATATTCCATTTTTATTGCATTTTGTTTGCTCAAAAATACATTGAAAAACATGTGTTTGTATACAGTGTTTGGATGGTGACTTTTAAAATATATTCCCCTACAGATTACAGATTACATACCCCAAAATGTAGTTTGTAATGTAATCCATTAAATTACTTAAAGTGAGTAAAGTAATCTGAATACTGGATTACTTGATTTGCTGTAGAGAAGCAAAGATGAGGAGATCTTCACATAAGAAGTTTTGTTTGCTAAAAGAAAATAAAAAGGCAGAGTCTTTACTCAACCAAATTAAAAATATTATTGATAGAAGAGGAGGAGACACGGTCCGTGCGGCATGATTTAGTCCTGGTTTAGACCTGGTTTAGATCTAGTTTAGTCCTGGTTTAGATCTGGTTTAGACTTGGTTTTATTCCCAGTTTAGATCTAGTTTAGTTTAGACCTGGTTTAGTTTACCTGGTTTAGTTTAGTTTTACCTGGTTTAGACCTGGTTTTAGGTTTAGACCTGGTTTTAGCCCTGGTTTAGACCTGGTTTAGATCCTGGTTTAGACCTGGTTTTAGATCTGGTTTAGACCTGGTTTACCTGGTTTAGACCTGGTTTAGACCTGGTTTAGTCCTGGTTTAGATCTGGTTTAGACCTGGTTTAGATCTGGTTTAGACTTGGTTTTATTTAGATCCTAGTTTAGTCCTGGTTTAGACCTGGTTTAGATCTGTTTAGACCTGTTTTAGCCCTGGTTTAAACCTGTTTTAGCTCTGGTTAGAGTTTTATCCTGGTTTAGACCTGTTTAGATCTGGTTTAGACCGTTTTAGGCCTGTTTAGCCTGGTTTTAGTCCTGGTTTAGACCTGGTTTAGATCTGGTTTAGACCTTGGTTTTATCCCCAGTTTAGA